TGATTTAAAAAAAAGTGCAGGTAATGTGGTATACTAATTTTCACTTCCAATTGATATCTTATATAATTTATTGTTTTTAATGAATGCGAATTAGCTCGAGATTTATGTCTGTTAAGATTTTTAACGGATACGTTGAGTGGAACTTAAATTTTTATTATATAATAATGTCTACACATGTCAATATTTAATTTTTGTATGGAGAAGTTGTTAAAACTCATAGCCTTTGTTTTTCATCCTTGTGATTCATGGTAGACTCTCGTAGAGTACAAATGTTTCACATAGTAATGAGATTTTGTCTAGTGCTGGCCTTTTTTCATGCAGAACCAAGGTATACCACATTACCTACACTTGTGTTTACTGAAGAAATGTCTAGTTTTTTTTCCAAATTGGTGATTATGTGGTGCAATCGCGCATATTATTTGATTTTTAGTTTATACTGATTATTTTAATGCTTTAGTAATAACGATTAAAGTACATCCGTAAAACAAAAAATTATTTTTAAACTTCAACCGAAAAAAAGTAAATTTCATGAAAAATTTTATTTTTGGTACTGATTCTCAACGTGATTTAAATAAATTAAACAGGTCATTGCTATCTTATTTTTTTGAGAACAGCAAACTATAGAACATGTTTCAGTTATTCTAAAATTTTCAGTTTACAAAAAAAGTGACTATACCACATTACCAACCTATACCACATTTGCATCACTTCCACTGTTGGTTTATTTATTTTTGTGCTTTCAATTTGAAAATAATTTTTTTTGGAATTAGCAAGACTAATTGTTTTTGGAGAAAAACTTTACAAAACGAGAAAAACGTAAGTATTAATATGTAATAGGAAAATAAAAGACTATTTCCAGCATTTTTAGAAAAATGACGGAAGAAGATCAGTGTGTCTCTGTAGCCAGTGGCAGTAAATTATTAAGCCCAAATATGGATTTGGATATGCAGAAAGGTAGTTATGATGGTTTCCAACTTATTTTTTTACATTTCTGTGTGAAAAGTAGGAATGGTACAAAATATATATATTTCAAAAACTTGTTAAACTGGTTGTGTTTTCTTTCTTTTAATTCTTTATAATGGCGGACAAATTGGTTTGTTTTGACAAATCAGCTGATTAGTTGCAAGCTTCTGCAGGGATGCCGTCTGTTTACTTTTCGCATTTTTCTTGCAAAAGAGAATAAAACTACCTTACTCTCTCAGAAAGAAGTTACTGGACAATTCCTGCAGGGAAAGTAACCAGACACACCTAATCTGATGAGGAATTACATTTGACTGTCTCATTTGCATTCGCTGTGATAGAATGTTGGATGGTTGTATGTGGTGAATTTTTTAAAGAAATGTGTTTTTTACTGATTTGCGGGAATAAAAAGTATTTTTTATGACATGTTATGATACGCTTGATTGTAGGTCTTCAAAGAAATCGAACACATATGGGATGCCTTGGAACGACGAATCCTACATCGCAAAATTACCTCTAAGGTAATGCTCAAAGATGTGCTGCAAGATGAATGGAACCAAATATCTTCGACAGAAACTTCCATGCTGGTATCTTCGACTTTTCCACTGAGTGTATATAATTCTTCTTGTTTGATTCAATCAGATCACACTGGTATAGCATAGCAGACCGACCTATCTTTTTATACCCTCAGTCTTATGGCTAATGAGGTTACATACACTTTGATACGGTGAAAATGTGCCTCATCGAAATATTGGTTTTAGACCCCATGATTCTTTGGACCAAATCCGTTTGAGAAAATTTGTGGTCGATTTACACAAGTCCGTCCGTCTGTCTGGCTGGGCGCACGATAACTCTCGAAGGGAATAATCGATTTCATAAATTAATAGGGCAGACAGTAGCAACACGCAATGGAGAATTATCGGGAGAAAAGGAGAGAGGAGAAACGTATTTTTAGAAAAAAAGAAGAAAGAACAAGAAAAACGTGAGCGGGAGCAAATCGAGATGTGCAGGAGTCAGATTGAAGTGTGGAAATTTTATCAACGAGTAAAACACCAAACCGAAGGCTTTGGTGCAGGTACATCCTACTGTAGAAATGAAGAAACCTGGTGACATATACAGACGGCGTGTTGAGGATCTGGAAGGAGCATTTTGAAATGCTTCTGGTATCATATAGAGATAACGGTATAGAGTGTATACCACCACCTAGTCAAGATGAGGTTAATCGGCTGAAGAACAATAAAGCAGTAGGTACCGATGGATTACCAGCCGAACTATTGAAGACTGATGAACAGATACTGAATATCAACCAATTGGCTGAAGAATAATAAAGCAGCAGGTGCCGATGGGTTATCAGTCAGATACTGGCAAGGGGCATGCACCAGCTGATTAGTACAATTTGGCTAGAGGAATGCATGCCTAATGATTGGAACCTGAGCATACTGTGTCCCGTGCACCAAAAAGGAGACCAGACGATATGTGCAAATTATTGAGGAATAAATCTCCTTCCCATCGCATATAAAGTCCTATCCAGTGTGCTGTATGAACAACCGAAATGCGGCTTCAGACCTGGCAAATCCACAATTGACCAGATTTTTACTCTGTGCCAGATCCTGGAAAAAAACAGGAAAAGCACATCGACACATTCCACTTATTCGTCGACTATAAAGCGGCATTCGGATAACTTTATCTGGTACGATGTCGGAGCCCTTCAATATCGCATGAGGATTCATACAAGGTGACATTTTGTCGTGTGATCTGTTCAACATCTTGTTTGAAAGGTCATACGAGATGCAAATGTGAACAGAAATGACACTCTGTACACCAAACAGCATATGTTACTCGCCTATGCCGACGATATCGACATAATGGGTCGAGCATTGCGAGCGGTAACAGCCACCTTTGAACGAATTGAGAAGGAGTCTGCCAAAGTGACAGTAAATGGCGAAAAGACCAAGCTGATGGTATCAATGCGCAAGACGTTCAGTAGACTCGGACCAACTGTGGAACTTGAAAACTACAGCTTCGAGGTAGTGAACGATTTTATATACCTCGGTATCGCTGAGACGTCTTCAATCTAATACGCTATGCAATATTTCATGTAAAGCGACCAGACATAGGCTCCACCATTTGCAAACAATCGGACAAAAATATATGAGGGAGCTATATCTATATCTGAACCGATTTCAACAACAAAATATCGTGCAAATATGGTGCTCCATTTACATAATATGGGACTAAAGAATATATGTGAGCTATATTTAAATCTGAACCGATTTCAGACTTAATCAAAGCTTTTTAGACTAAATGCCATACCCGCTGCTAAATTTTGTTAATATAGAACAAACATAGACTCCTCGGTGCGCCATTTACATAAAATCGGACTAAACTATATATGGGAGGTGGGAGTATTAAGAGAGTGAGATGTTGAAACCAACCTTATAGTTCGATTGTAGTTTCAACTCTAATTTATTTATGAAATATTCTGACTATCAGATCTCACAGTACACATGGGGGTTGCGTTCATTTGTTTACATCAAATGAGCGCACCCATACCTTTGTGTGTGGACTTCTATTGATTTTGTGACTACATTAGCCACTTATCATAAAACCACTTGGACATCATTTATGAAATGCATAAATGTGAAGTGATCATAAAATAAAAAGGATGAAGCCGAGCATGTTCATATTTTTATGAACAGGGAGATATATCTTAATCTGAACCGATTCCAATAAAACTTCACATACATCAATCCTGACATAATTCAGTACGCTGTGCAAAATTTTGTCTCTATTGGACCAATACTAGCAGTATGTCGATCCATTTACATAAAATCGGACGAAACAATATATGGGAGCTATATCTAAATCTGGACCGATTTCATCAATACTTGGCATATATCAATCTAGGCCTAATTCAGTACTCTGTGCAAAATTGCGAATCTATATATGGGAGCTATATCTAAATCTGAACCGATTTCAACAAAACTTGGCATATATCAATATAGGTCTACTTTAGAACTCTGTGCAAAATTTGGTCTCAATCAGACCAATATTGGGAGTTAGGTGCACCATTTACATAAAATCCGACGAAACTATATATGGGAGCTATATCTAAATCTGAACCGATTTTCTCCAATTTCAATAGGGTTCGTCCTTGGGCCATATAAGTCACATGTGCAAAATTTCATTCCAATCGGATAATAAATGCGACCTGTTCTTTGTTCACAAAAATACATGGACGGAAGGACATGCATAAATCGACTCAGAAATTGATTCTACGCATATTCTCAAAAGGAATCATGAGTCTATCTCGATTCCTTGTACCGCAGTGTGGTGAAGGGTAAACAAATATATAGAAGCTAAATATGTACCGATTTCAAAAGCATTTGTTTATGCCCAGTTTTTCTATGTTTTGTCCAGTCCAATGTCCACCTTTTTGCGTGTTGATATTTGGTAAGCAGATTTAATTGCTATAGGAACGCCATAAATAGTTTCTTCTAATTTTCAAAGTTAGGAAATACTTTTCTATTAAAAATTTGCCAAATAATAAAATTTTGTACAATATTGCATATTTATAACCCCAAATATTATCTTCTCTGTTTTGTTTTCAGAAAATGTTTGATATTTTCATTGTGACGGACAATATGGCGTATGATCGATATAGTTTATCTAAAACCACTTTAAAACCGTTTCCCATACCACTAGGTGTACCACGAATTAACCACTTCTCTTTGCATGACATTTTCTTTAGTTTTGAAATAAATCAACCATTTATAACGACATATCAGTTGTAACGACGAATCCAAAATTCCCTAGAGAAGTCCGCTTATAACGACATATCGCATATAACGACCAATTTCGCCAATCCCTTAGCCGTCGTTTTAAGAGATAACGACGATACAAAAAATAAACAGAGAAATGACAAATTCAAGTGCGATTTACTATCTCTTACTTTTCCTTACTTCGACAGTGTTATGATTGAAAAAACTATTTTAATTTTAATAAAAGTAAAAAAAATAATAAATATAAAAATAGCTCACCTGCATTTTATTTATAACTTTCCAGCCATCTTCAACACCTTTAACAGCTACATATTTCGATTGTACCGGAAGTAATAGCTGATCCAATATTTCCAATTTACCGGCTGTGTATTTAATCGATTGTAAAGACATTTTTACAATTTGTTGTGGTTGTCTTTTTTGATTGTTGTTGTTTGTTTAGCACGTTTATTTACACACACCAAAAGTCAATATAAACTGCAAAAGACATATGTACACACATATTATAGATATATTGCCGCATATTGGTACATTAGATGTATGAATGAAAATAAATTAAATTGATAGTGTAATAATTTAGAATATAGAAAAAATGGAATTTTTTATTAATATAAATTTAAGTAAATTCGAAGTTGGTTTTATAGATTCCTTGTTTTAATATCTTTATTTTTTTTCTTTTTTTTTTTTTTGGAAAAATATTTTTTATTTCTAATCTGACCCACTTTATTACATTATATATATATATATGTATGTATATGCAGATAAAAATACATTTTGGCGCGTAGGCTTTACAAACAAATTGAAAAGGCTATCAACAATTTAATAAATCATTAAAATTATGTGGGAATGGAAATTAAAATGAAATTATTACAAATTAAGCAACAAATAACAAATTTATATATGTGTGAGGATTATCGGTGCCCTACACACACACACCTAATGTCATATTGTTGGATACTAACAAGGTGTATTTAATAAGGTGTATGCATCAGATACAACAACAAATATTTATCAAAAACAACATTGTTGTTATAGAAATTAAATTGTCATGCTGACAATAAGTTTTTGACAAAAATAAACAAAAACAATCATTAATTTTTTTTGGTCAAGAACTATTCTTTGAATAATAATTAATGAATTTGTGTATTCTTGGGTTATTGGAGGTTTTAGGTCAGTTAAAAATAAAATTTAAGACCTGGTCGCGATTAATTTTAAGTTTCCCACATGTAGCCCACGCCTCCTTATGATGTTTATATTGTGGATTACAATCTATGTTTTCTATGGAGTGGCTTCAAATCTTGCCTTCTTAATGAAGGACATAAATCCCCGGCCAAAGACTAAATCATGGAAATTGTGCTGACCGTATAAAATCTTTCCATAGATGTATTTAACCTCCGGCGAGAATTGTGACAAGCACCAAGGACCCGATTCCAATATAGGCTAACATAACCTGCTCCATTTATGAGTAGTTGGGATTTCTGGACAGATTTCCACACATAACATTATATATGTGGACCAATCGGTGAACGGGGCTATAACTGAGCCTAGGTTTCCTTTCCGTCCGCCTCTATGAATGTAGTTTTCTTGAATGTTTATTATTAAAAAGCCTAAATTTGAAGACCATTTTTGAAATCGAAATGTAATATTGAAAATGTTTTTGACAATTTACTTCACAAACAATAAAGAAAAAAGTTTGAAACCATATGATTGTCACTTACACCTTATTAAATACACCTTGGATACTAAGTTTATATGTTGACAATAAAAAGAATAATTTGTTTATGCTGAATAATTTTTGAAACTTAACTATGGGTCAAAAATCGATTTCAAGTAGAGACTTTGAGATTTACAGATGACTGTTGATGTCCCGTCCCAGTGAAAATTTATTATATTTTGGGTTGCGTAGGGGATGATAGATACCAAGCAATGGATCTGATTGGCTTTAACATGGCGAAGCCCAGGCTTATATTGGTCCCTCTTTCATCTCAATTGTGGACACTGACCTCCCCGCGGTGTCACCTGGGGTAGCTATTTTCAACACCCGTTAAAATAGTGAGCTGGTATGTTCCGCGAGTTCACCCATAAGAACTATAAAAAAATGGGTTGAGGTGTCGGGTTAGTTGCCTACACTCGCAAAACCTCTCCTACTATGAAAAAGGAAAGAAAAAGAAAATAAACCGACCTAATGTTGACGACCGCGAATCTGCACTTGGAATGTGCGCACGTTGTACAGAACAGGCGCAGTGTTCGCTTTGGCGTATGTACTCAAGAAGTAAAAAGCCGATATTATTGCCTTACAGGAAATGCGATGGAAAGGGTGGCGTAAGTAAATCAGACAATTACGCACTGTTTTATAGTTGCCATGAAACGAGACATGAATTTGTCTGCGGATTTATGGTTAACAGAAGAATAAAAGACCTCCTCTCCAGATTCTCTCCTGTAGATGAGCGAATTGCTATAATCCGTATAAAAGCGAAGATCGTCTACATCAGTCTTATTTGCGCCCATGCTCCGACCGAAGACAAAGATGAGCAGACCAAAGACATATTTTACGAGCGCCTAGAAACAGCATATGACCGCTGCTCTGGCCATGACATGAAAATTCTGCTAGGACATGAAAATTCTGCTCCCATGTTTTCCTCCATGAAGAAACATCCGACAACGGCATGAGGTTGATTGACTTCGCGGCAGCAAAAAACATGGTAGTTAGAAGCACCAGATTCAAGCATCTCGATATACACAAGGCCATCTGGATTTCTCCTGATCAAGCAACGAGAAATTAAATTGATCTTGTTGTGATAGACGAAAGGTATTCATCCAGTGTATTAGGCATTCGATCGATTCGAGGAGCGAATATCGATTCGGACCACTACCTTGTAGCAGCCAAGGTTCGCACTCGTCTTAATGTAGCAGCAAAGGTGCGATCTAACACAACACGAAAACTCGACGTCGAAAAGCTGCAAACACCACAGATAGCAGAAACCTACTCCGCTCAACATTACTCACTTTCATGACGAAAGCCCTCCATGTGCAGCAAAAGCAACACTTGGGTACCAAAAACCACCATCAAGAAACCCATGGTACGATCAGAAGTGTCGTAATGCTACTGATGCGAACTGATGATGAACGCAGCCTACAGGGCAACCCTGCAGACAGTAGCAACCCGTAATGCGATGGAAAATTATCGGGATAAAAGTAAACGTCTTTTCAGAAAAAAGAATAAAGAACAAGAAAAACGTGAGCTTGAGCAAATCGAGATGTGCAGGAGTCAGAATTAAGTCCGAAAATTTTACCAACGTGTAAAACACCAAACCGAAGGCTTTGGCGCAGCACATCCTCCTGTAGAGATGAAGATGGAAACCTGGTGACAGATACAGATAGCGTACTGAGGATCTGGAACGAGGCATTTTGAAAAGCTTCTGGTATCAAATAGTGGCGGTAAAGAAGATACTCCAGAGAGGCGTAGAAGAAGACGCTATAGAGTGTATACCACCTAGCCAAGATGAGGTCAGAGTAGCAATTAATCGGCTGAAGAACTATAAAGCAGCAAGAGCCGATCTATTCAAGATTGGTGTTCAGATGCTGGTCAGGAGCATGCACCAACTGATTAGTACAATTTGGCAAGAGGAAGGCATGCCCAATGATTGGAACCTCAGCATACTGTGTCCCGTGCACAAAAAAGGTGACAAGACATGTACCAACTATAGAGGAATAAGTCTCCTTCCCATAAAGAGCTATCAATTGTGCTGTGTGAACGACTGAAGCCAATAGTCAATGACATTATTGGACCATACCAACCATATTTTCACTCTGCGATCCTGGAAAAACACATTGACACATTCCACGCATTCGTCGACTACAAAGCCGCATTCGACAGCCCTATCCGCTCAGAGGTGATTAAAGCCATGCGTTCGGCATTCCTGTAAAACTAATACGACTATGCAGAATAACTTTAAGTGACACAAGGTCAGCAGTTAAAGTCGGAAAGGACCTATCGGAGCCCTTCAATACCGAACAAGGATTCAGACAAGGTGACAGTTATATGGACGTGCGCAAACAGATGAGGCAGATATTGGGGTGTTTGAGAGAAAAATTCTCCGAAAGATTTATGGGCCGATCTGCGTCGACGGTGAATATCGGCGTCGAATGAAACGTTTATTCTCGGACATAGACATAGTCAGTTGTATTGAGCTGCAGCAAGACAACATCTTGAAGCATGGTCTTTAAAATTGGAGGAGATGCACAAAAGACGCGCTTGGAAATCTTTTTTAAGCTCGGCTTATGGAACATCCGTTCTGTAACAAGCCAGCTAAGAAGAAGATGTTGAGCTCATTAATTCGAAACTTTCCAATTACATAATCATATATAAATCTTCCCTCCGGAGAATTTATTTTTCTCTCAAACACTCCAAGAGCTACCTCATTTACTTGTGTAAGTAACCATGCTTCAGACCCATAGAACAGTTCTTAAAACAATTCTCTGTAGACTACCTTGCCTTAAGGCATTTTGGTAAAGAATAATAAACCAAAAAAAATAATTTTTTTTTAAATCTAAAGCCTTTACTTGCCGGCACTTTTGACCTGTTCCCGTACTGCAAGAATCTACTAGTTTTTACTATATACCTCGATATGATAAAGCAAAGATTCTTGCAGTACGGTAATAGACCATTTGATTAACACCACATTTTGAAAAATCTTCCCAGAATAATAAAGCTTAGTGCCGTAAAAACAACAAAATTTGTTTTTATAAAAATTCCAACAAAAATATCTTTGCTTCACAAAAAACACCTAATAATAATTGTTTTTTTTTTCTCTTTGTGTGTTTAAAACACCTAAGAAAATAAACATGCGTAGCGCCAATAGCGTTTCTGTTTTGAAAAACTCTTCATCTCGTGTGCCAAAAAACGCTATAAACCAAAGCGAAAAAAAGAAATTGAAATAAAAACACTTTCACATGAATATTTTGGCATTAATGATTATTGACTTGAAATTTGCACGCTATAACATGACAACAACTATTCTTGTTGCCTGCTGATCATTGAATGTTAAACAACAACAACAACAAAACCTTGGGTACGCTATCGGCGGGACAGTCAGTTCGTTTAAATAATAATGTAACACTTTAGGGGAAGTGGAATACTCATTGATTTAATTTTTGTATTGATAATTAAAAACATTTTTTTAAGCAATGAAAACTGTTACGCTTGAATAAAAATAGAGGATGGATGGTGACAACAACTACACTTTTCACCCATCACATACAGAGATCAATGGCCACACAAGATTTTTTCGTAATCTCTAATAAAATGATTACTGTTTTTGCTTTTTATTCAAAATTAAAAAAAAAAACTATTAAATCACAACAAAATAAAAATGACAAAAGTTTTGAAATTCTTTAATAAATGTTATAGATTTTTTCCT